CTTGTATTAACCACTGAGCTATAATATATCTGGAGGAAGTGCTCGGCATGAAAGAGTGTCGCCAAAAACATGGCGGATTTTCACGTCTGCTGACGCCAGAATGACGCCACTGGTCCCAAATCCTCGTGGTAATTACCACTGACCAACCGCGATCCTCGGCTTCAGACGACGATTTCACCCCCCTGGTTTTTGCACAAAAAGCTGAAACTCTGCTGAATGTTTATATAAAAAACATCAAGAAAAAATGCAGAGTTTTTGCATGGCTTCGTGATGCCACAATTCTTTAACATCAAGAAGCTCCCTATGTAGCGAATCCGGATTCTGGAATCCAACAAAAATTTGCACTTTAGAATCCGGAATCCATGACGTGGAATCCGGAATCCATTGACTCGGATCCGGAATCCATAATTTTAATCATGGAATACGGAATCCAGCTTTCATACTTTATAAAATATAATGGTTTTGTAGCGTGAAACATCAAACCTTAACGTACGTGATCTCATTAAATTCATGCAATACAAGTATCCCCGCCTTATAAAATTTACATAAAGTGTTAATGAGAACAAACAAACTAACTCTGAATTATGCACTTGAGCGCGAAGAAGGGCGCAAATTTGTTGACTACCTCGCCGAAATAGTTAAGTCTTTAGTCGAATTACTGGTACGTGTGAAACACTGATCGTTTTCTACAGTTTTTGCCAAGATATTGAGGCAAACTGAAACATATTTATAAAATATTATTCAAGGAAAAAGTTAGGAAATTGGAAAAAAGCACAAGAACCAAGGAGAGAGAAAAGTGATGAACAATGAAACATGTAGAATTCTAGAATTATTAAAAAGCCTGCAAAAGGAGTGTACTCAGTACCCAGGCGTTTCAAAAGTACTTGTTATGGATAAGGATCTCGAAGGATCAATGTCATTTCAGCAGTAGGACTGATACCAATCCAACAAGAAATGGCTAAATACGCAAATCTGTTTAGGCTTGTTAGAAAAGCAGAACAGTAGAAGTTACCAATTCAAGATTCGCTTCACAAGCCTGACAACATTAAGCGTAGAGCCTTTCTTTAAAGGTATGCGTTGCAGAATACGCATACAAGCGAGCAATCGGTGTGTTGAAGACAAGGGTGGGTAGTAGCGAAGTAGTTGTAGTTCGCTACTGTAGCGAACTACAATTTTCAAGTAGCCAGTAATTTTTTACTACTTTTTTAAAATAGTAGCTGTAGTTATAGCGAACTACATTTTGCCTAAAAGTAGCCAAGTAGTTGACTACTTTTCAAACAGCGAATCGCTATTCGCTACTTTTCAAAATTGTTAGCAACTTGATAGAATAGCATGATATTGAGACATGGTTTGCTTAAAATGAATACTCAATAGTCAATTTGCACTCCTGAACACTGTATTGCTTAGAAAAAAATGTTGTTTTGTGTTTATTGTTGCTACTCGTAAGTCGATTTGTTAAAAGTTACATTTCAGCCTGAGTTAGTAGATGCTCTAAATACAGTAAAACTAAAAAATATGGTGTAGCGAAATAGCGAAATAGTTCGCTACATTTTTTAAGCAGTAGCTGTAGTCGGTAGCGAACTACCTTTGTTCAAAAGTAGCGGTACTGTAGTTGGAGCTGACTACATATTTTTGAAGTAGCTGTAATTATAGCGAACTACAAAAATTTTGTAGTCAACCCACCCTTGGTTGAAGATAGCATTCTTTGGATTTGCCAGAGACACTTAAGACACTTCGCCGGCCCATATTCGTTTTATCCCGAGAAGATTATAAATGATTATAAATTTGTCTGGCAGGGCCAACAGACAATCTTCCACACAAAAAGGAGGTGGGGATGCCAAAGAAGACAAACGAAAAGAAACAGAGTGATGACAAATTTTATCCAAGAACATGGAAGAAGAGTTCGACGAACAAATGTTTGCTTATAAAGACTAAGGAATTAACAGACAGGTACCTTGCCGTGCACCTTGAGTATGCGTCCGCAAGTTATCTCAAATCCATCAGATATACCCGATGTAACAACTGCGTGTCTTGTTGCCGATGGTGCATATGGAGGACAAAGCACAGACAACATAAGAGTGCGTGTGGTCTACTTAAAAGATGATATAATCGTAGGACATAATCGTACACATAATCGTAGGAGAGAATTGTCCCCCTATTGACTTACCGTACTGATGCAAAATATTTATGTCAAATTGGCTACTAGAAAATACATGAGCAACGCTGTAAAATTTCAGTGGTTTAATCAAACAACAGATCCAATGATTTACACTTGCGGTGACATATCTCAATGGAAAACAAGCCGAACTGCATCTTAGCAAAGGTGGATATTTCTTACTTGAAGACAGTTGAAATGTTATTTTGTCTCCCAACGAAGACATCTGGTTGAGTAGGCTTGTTAAGTAGGCTTGGGATGGTTGAGTAGGCTTGGGATGATGAAAGTAAAGATGAAGAAGAGGAGGAGCAGGAAAGAGTATCTGCTGAATCAAAAGAAACAAGACCATTAATTAAGACTTAAAGGAGTGAGCTCGTTAGGAAGAAATACTACTCGTTTTATACTGCGTTAGGTAACAGAACTTACCAAATAATAATAATAATAATAATAATAATAATTATGAGCTTTATGTCTTAAATGAAATAATGCTTCGTAATATTGACCTTTAGTGTTTCTTGTTATTATGTTGATGCAATAAGCTTTAATATCATGTTTTGTTTTTTAAAAGTGTTTAAAGGTTACTGATGTACATGTATAAGACTATATTGCATGCATGTTTACAGCAGTTTTTGATCCTCTAATCTTACAAAATATAACAAAGCCTTATCTTGACGATGTTATACAGGTTAGTTATTGAAATCTTTATAAAAAGTAAATATTAGTCAAAGAATCCACTTACTATTATTAAGAAGGAATCCGGAATCCGTGGATCAGGATCCGGAATCCACGGATCAGGATCCGGAATCCACGAGCCAGGATCCAGAATCCGACACCATCTTGGATTCCTTTACATAGGGCGATTTATTACTTCTCAGGGCCGTAGCAACCGGGGGGGAGGGGGGAGATGGGGGCAGCAGCCCTACAATAATTTGCTGATAATCATTCTTTTTTCAAAATCATGCACACCTTTATCATTTAAATAATATACCTTTAAAATGCTGACAATTGATTAATTTTAAGAGGCTACATTATCCATGACAAACCGCAAGAATCATATTACCCATACTCTTTCCTGCAATATATAGTTAATTAAATACGCCTTCGCCCATTTAGTTCTACTAAATTGTATGAAAATTGTAAATTTCGACATACTAAAACTCTATTAACAAGTCGAACCGACTTGACCACGTAGCTCAGTTGGCAGAGCATTGGACTAGTATCCCAAAGGTTGCCCGCTGTGGATGCACACTCAGAGTAACATCACAAACATCATATTCACCTGAGTACATATAATACCAACACACACACATAAATTATACTTATATCGAAGGAACTAGATTCAGTTCCGAAATATCAACAACTCGAACCGCAGAGCATTGGACTGGTATCCCAAAGGTCGCGGGTTCGACTCCCACCGTGGCCAAGCAAACTTTTCAGCTTGCCCGCTGTGGATGCATACTCAGAGTAACATCACAAATATCATACTAAAACTCTGTTTTCTGACCATCAGAATTCTGTCGAAACTTCCCCCAAAGTCCAGGAAATGGCATTTCAGAGAATCTAAATTTAACAATTTCCTCGGGTATTTGGCCCTCGTTCTCAGCCCCCAATAAAAAAGAGCTTCCTACGGCACTGCATGCTTCTGTAATATGTCTTTGCGTAAACTATGTGTATTTTTGTTTGTAAATTGCATCTTCATTTTCCGGATAGCAAACACCTTCGTGGCTTCGTGGCTTCATGCTAGCTATCCGGCCTGAATTTATGACATTACTATGATTCATACTATGGCAACACTAAAGTCATGCATGGGTGCATGCAATAATATAGTCTCCCTCGCTGCCGCTTTAATGTCGAGATTTATCCTTACGAGTTCGTGAGAAGAAACCTCGACACAAAGAGCGGCTGCGAGGGAGACTATAGCAATAATAGGAAACTGTCCGTAATAGAGAAGTATAAGGAGACACCACATGCACTGGCATTTGCAAACAACGGTTTGCGAAATCAACGCCAACTTTCATAAGGCAGAGTACAATTTCTAATAGTATAATTCCCTGCACCAGAATGATGAAAACGATCCTGAAACACTGTGAGTAAGGGTTTGGTAAAATAGCATACTAAAGCTGCAACAACGATCCCGTTAGCAAAAACATGTCGTTTCCAGTACTTCGACCACACTCGCGCTATGGGAATATTATGCCAATGTATGCGAACAAAAGTAGACAAAAAGTTGAACACCAATTCAATCATCAATCCAACAGCAATTCTGATTAAAGATGACTTCACGACGGACCAATCAGAGAGCTGAAAATTTGTAATCGTATATAAAACGATATATGATTGGCTTAGAATCAGTGAATTGTTTTCAAAAAGTATATTTTGTATCTCGGTGTCTGCTTTAAACCGCCTGTGATGTGGTGTGTTTCCAGGCAAATGGTGAAGTCTTGTACAGCATGTTCTGTTCAAAAACCCGATAACTCGTGCCCATACTTTCTCACGAATACCAACAGTCGTTGTTTTAAGCAAACTCGAGAATCCCGATAGAAGAGATAGCCCGACAAACAGCCAGATATTCCCAAAATCTGCTTGCATGACACGATACAAAGTAATGAAGGCCGCTCGTATGAAATAAACCAACGCAAAGCTTCGTCCTGGTTCGATAATCTCTGAAGAACGCCATAATGCCATATGCCTACATATAGCGGTCGGCACCAGTGCTAAGGTCGGTGTCAAGATGGCCAATATGAATCTATACAACACATTATCGAGGGAACTAAACCACGTAACAACAGCATATCTGTAAAACATTGCCATTGCAAAGGAGCTCAATAACGGCACTGCAAGAACCGTGACAATATGGCGAACTGAGTAGAATACATCTGGGTGATTTCGTCGAATTTTGCGAACCACAATCGCAGATTCCCAGAGAATAGCAACAGCAAATGTTAAAAGTGCTGGAACGTCGTAACTTTTGATGGGACCAGTATCATGTATACCAAATAGGAGTAGAAAACTTAAATATAATGTAGTAAATAAACCAACCAGTTGACCTACTAAGATAGTTGAGGAATAATGACGCTTGAATTCGTTCCAACCAAATAAAACAATGAAATTCAAGGAAAACGAGAGATACAATATCATTTCCTCAACTCCTATGCCGATTAATCGTATCCTCCTAACATCAAATGAAAGAGTGTAGTTTTTGGCCTCCCATTCAGAACATAAATCTGCTGTTCTTAAATCGAAATATATAAGAGCCATTCCTATAAGCACCAAAGGCAGTACAGCTAAGGTTATGGCAACGTTCGCCTTCAGACTCCTGAGTAATGACCGGGTATATGTAGGCTTCTTTCGCAGTTCATACCCTACTTGTACATACTCTGTTTCTTCCTCAAACGAGACATGATGTTCCCTGTGCAGAATTTTATCCTCCCATGCGTGATTGTTCAATTCCCGAGAAATTCGTGGTGCATCCAAAGTTAAGGCAGAAAACAATGACAAGAAACAGGCGATTAATTCTTCCAACATGATGAAAATATCAATTGAATGGCAAAGTTTCTATATATAATCAAGTTGCTCTTTTAAAGTCACTTGTTGATGATTTCCTATATATGCTGAAGTTTCCGCGTCAATTGTGTTTTGAGAGACGGTGGCCGCGCAAAATGAAACTGCATTAATTAAAAATATTCGTTCGACAAAGAGACAGCTGAGAAACAACGATATAAAATAAGCAAAATATATATGAGCTATACCTATTTAGTATAATTTCAGTATTGAAAGCCTTTCAGCATTCGAATTGGCTCCCCCCGGCAGTAACTCTGCTCGGATCATGAACTATTGCTTTTCCCAAAAAATGGTAAGTAAATTATTTATGCAAATTATATTCATAAAATAAACACGTGTATTAGTTGTATCTACTATCTATAAGGGGCGGACCATTTGATTTTTCATGGGGGGGGGGACGCATTTTTGAGAGTGCTCGATTTTTTTTGGAGCTCACCGACTCCGCACGATTATTTTTTATCGAATATTGCGCGTGCACGATATTTTTTTAAATTAATTTTTTAATATAGCGTTAATACAATAATACCTGCATTCAGTATTTTTATAAAACCATCATTCACGTATGGTTATATTCCGGCTGAAGAATGTATTTGAATATACAGAGTATAAGTCTACGAAACGTAGACCATAGCCCCGATCAAAATTGGATCAAGTGTAACCTATTTACTGGCAGGCACAATCTCGTTCCCCGAGCCTGCGATCCTCGGGAAGGAACGCGAGGCTCTGGGATAATCCGTTGCCGGAAGCCAGGAATTCTGGCTACGATTGAACTACGCATTCCTTTCAACGGCCAATCAGATTCCTCCCTGAAACAGATTATCCCAGAGCCTCGCGTTCCTTCCAGAGGATCGCAGGCTCGGGGAACGAGATTGTGGCAGGCAGTACTCTACCACTGACGAGTAAAAATCGGCTGGCATCAGACAGAGGAAATACAAAAGTAGGGCGCATTTGCCAACACTGCCAGTTAATGAGTCAACGGCGCTCTGAAACTTATATTTAAAATGTGATTTAATCTCAAATTTTTCAAGTAGAGCACAAAAACGTAGACATGCACTCACCACTACATCAACCTTTCACATACATACTAGCAGCTTGAAGGAACATATCCAGACGGGGTTGCTTTTTTCGCATTCTGTATTAAGCCAGAGCCGAGCGAGGAACGTTCCCAAATACGGGGACGGCAATGCAACGGGCTGGTTGCGAATTGTCATTAAAAATCGTTGTAGATATTTAAATATATACTTTATAGGTATAGTTAATATTTTTAAGGTTAATGTTTATAAATGTTTTGTTCAAGAACATAAAAACTATAATTGTCTTAATATAAAAAAATTGTTTCTGCAGTTAATATGTTCCATATACTTTATATACTGGGAAAGAAAACATACCATATTATAAATAAATTATTCAAATGTACTGTGTCATTTTTTTTTAAATCAACTCTACCATTAATATTTGCATTGGCATAATGGCATCTATATAGAAATTCTCACGGTTCCCAATTAGTGTTCCCAATACGTACAAGGGCGTAGGAGCCGGGGGGGCCAAGGTCACCCAAGTTTTCAGAAGACACAAAAAGTGCGCTTTTTCCGGTGGCAAAGTGCCCTTTGCTTTCGTGAAAAATATTGTTCAGATTGCATTTTTGACTCACGGATGTTGCAAAGCAACAACCAGAATCCAGAACGGCCAGAAATCGGGCTGGAGCATTTTTCTTTCAATATAGAGTATTGCTAATTTAGAAATTTTTTGTGCTCGATATTTTTTTTTATGGTATTGATGTTAGATTTTTTTTTCTTTATTTTTTTTCGGATTTGCGCCTCCCCATGAAAAATCAAATGGTCCGTCCCTAAATAAAACATTTTCAACACTTGAAATTATACTAAAACAATTAGTCGCCTCAGGCTCGGTGATTACACGGCCTATATTTCACTTTGCGGCTTCGGCTGACTGAATATAGGCTTATAATCACCACGTCTTCGGCCCCTAATTGTTAAATAGTAGCCTTGTATTTTGAAGTCAATAAATAGATTTGATAGATGTTACTGAATTTCCTTGTTACTAGTTGATTACAATGCATTTTTTTTTCTGGAAGCAAAATCCCAAACTGAATCAAAATTTCCGGAGTTGATGAAATGTTAAAGTTCCTGTGTATTGAATAGGTTTCGAAAAGGATAATGCGTGCCACACTTGGTGGTAAACTTCGATTTCGATTTGCACAATGGCAATGGATTTAAATTTCCTGCTTGGGTCACAGCGGATACTGTCCCGCCGAAAGAGTGCCTCCCTCCTGACAGTATAACTGCTAGCTGATACTAAGGCCATTAATACGCGTGAAAATAAGCCGCTGCTTAAGTAAGTCGCGAACGACTCGTATAAATAAGCCGCGGCTTATTGCAAATTATTATTATTATTATTGATCTTTAAACACGGTAACCTTTCACATAGGTGATTTTCAAAGGGCCGTGCAGAAAATAAATGCATTATAAAAGAAGGAACTAATAAACTAAATTATACGTAGCGACCGGGGGGTGTGGAAGGGTGTAAATCTCCCCCCCCCCCAACTGTGAAACTCAGGTAAAAATCTTGAGACTTTCAGGTAAAATTTGCGTGATAAAGTCGTTATTTTTGCGAAAATGATAACCATTTTTGTAAAATACAGTCAATTTAGATCCAATTCATTTGCGAATTTGCTTTAGAAAACGCCAGAAATGCAGCCCTGGAACTTGAAAAATGTAAAAATTTTCTGGGGGAGGACCCCAGACCCCCTCTTCTTCGGAAACTTAGTACGACAGTGGAAATCAATGAAAAAAATTCTCTCATAATTAATGCATTTCAGGCAAATTTTTAACATTGAAGTTCAAATTTCAAATACTTCGCTACGTCCCTACTGTCTCCCCGGACACTACCCACGTCGCGGACGATACACGCGATTACGTTCCCAGAGTGAGCCGTTTTACGAAAGTAGAGAGGTTAAGACACCCCGGTTTACGGGTACGGGTGATATACACGTATCTGTACCCGTAAACCGGGGAACGACTTGTTACATAAGAAATCCAAGATATTCCGGCGTGAGTAAACCTATCAGAGAATAGCATCTTTCGCTGTTGAGGTTCGCCATAGATTGTTGAAAACGTTGACAAGCATATGTGCATTATTTATTTGGGTAAGATGTTGAAAATTTTTACTATTTAAACGGCCCACAAATAGTAAACAGAAAACACCCGTACCCGTTTGTCTTTTACGTGTAGACCTCTGCGTGTAGCCATGGTTTGCCGCGGGGAAACGGGTAGAAATTACGGGTAAAATGCTGACATCAGCAAAAATTGGTAAACAAAATGGCGATACTCGTACCCGTAAAACGGAACCGGGGTATCTTAACCTCTCTAGTAGTGCGGCCTGCACGCGGAGTCTGCCTGATACGTAAATCAAGCAGTGGCCCCCGGTTTGGCAATATAGGTTCTATTTCGAGTTGCTTATTTCAGAGGTTTCACAGTACGGCTAGGATGTCAAACCGAGGCGAATTACATTTATTAATTACATTCATGCGCAGGCTGGTTTACCTAAAAAGAGTAAACTAAAGAAATATAAAATTTACCTTCAGCTGGTAAAACAGCTCCCCGAGTCAATGAGAAACTCAGCAAAAGAGGGAGAAAACATTGAAGCCAAGAACCCATCTTAATTTATCCAGAATAGGTTTCTTTATATAGAATATAGGAATTGTAAGGGTTGATGGGTCGATCCTTAATCGCTTTAATGACAAGGCAGCCGATGCAAGAGTGAACATATACAATTGGCGTTTTACCGCTTTTATATCCCACGTTGTTTAATGAATAAATATAAGTCAATTAATTTTAATTTTGCTAACCATATTTCGAAAAAACGAGATGGAGGGTTACAGCTATTCCAGACATCCCATAGCAACTTGGTAACTATCACAAGTACTGGACCGGCTTTCGGAACTGGATAAAACGTATATGCAGTTTTACGCGCTAAATTTTATTAAAAGGTAAAAAAAGATCCGATTACAAAGTTAAAATTAAATTAATGTTTTGAAATAAAAGGAAAAGCAAAGTGTAATGTAGCGCTGCATATAAATAAGGCGTGTATAATACATGCAATTCAACATGTTTAGAAATACGACTGCACTTTTGCTGCATGCAGAATCAATTATAGCTTTTAGTGATGTACTTCTAGATCATATATAACCAGGGCCGTGTTAACGTTTCGCGGGGCCCTCGTCCTTCGGCGTATTTAGCGCTGAGCCCCTCAACCCCCCACGACATTTTAGACACTTAATTCAGAAAGATTCAAGATTTACAAATAAAAACGAAATACACATCAATAATTTGAACCAAAATTCAACCCAGTTCATAGTATTAACATTAACATTTTGTATTATTTACAGGGGTATAAAGATTAAACGCCAAACCAGCTAAACGACATGAACAACATCCATATACATGAATGCATGAACATGATATAGGCGTACGGGAGGGAAAAAAATTAGGGGGACAGAAAGAAATTTACCCGACTTTTTCCATTTTGCCCGACTTACATCAAAAAACATTTTTCCCGTGGCACATTCCTCATGCCATATGGTTAATCCGGTACTGCACATAACCTGTAGGCACAACTCCAATTCTTAAAGATAGTGAGATATTAATTAAATATTTCCTTTCGTTAGTTTACACCACGCCCGTCATCGGATTGGAACAGTTTCAGGAAAAAATACAGTATAGTATTGGAAGATCACTTCGGGAAATATAGCAACTTCTACATAACGGACAGTTCGTATAAAAATCCATGGCTATATAATAAAAATACACATCAGGGATTTACCTTTCACCTGACAAATCTTGTTCCGAAGAGAGTAATTAAACGCAGAATTGCGCGTTCTAAAAGTCGTCAAATATAGATAACCATGCACCTGCTCTGGGATATTCTTTCAATTTCACAATTGAGACTGGGATTTGATCTGGGAAATAGGATTTAGAAAATAATCGGGCTGGGAAATGGCATCTTAACCCCCCTTCAGGACCCCTCATATTATGTGGAGCAATTGCTTACAACTCAACGAGTAGTTTCCGGCTACAGTACGACGGGAACCGTATATATTTGATAAATTTTGACCGGTTTCAGTGAATATTTGGGACTAGGCGTCATGCAGCTTTTTCAACAAAACATATAAGATTCGGTTCTAATGTAGGAGCCACAACGTTCTCCTTGACAACCTAAAATAGTTTATATACCAACACTGATATTTCATAAAACATGTTACAAATATTCAATTATATTTAATTATTTTGGGAAAATCACTTGTCAAAACATAAAGTTAAGGCATGACTCTATAGCAAGATGCACAAAAAACATTTCGTTGTATATGCACCAGATTATTAGGCTATGTATAGGATCAGTTCCTGCCACAAGTCTGACCTATATCTTTGTCTTTGGATCAGTCAAGACATTCAGAAACCAATTTAATATGTAACGCAGGTACCTGCATATGATTAGAACTTATTTGCTCTTATTTAACTGGGGAGAAATGGCAGATATCACTGTTGTCATTAATAAAAATCCAGAGGCCGAGTGATTTAATTGGCGACAGCAATTATTACTTGTCTAAATTATGGAAATTAGACCAGAACTCACTGAGAAGTATTTAAAAAATTTAAAATGTTTTTTTAAAACAATGCCTACAATTTGTAAATCCCTTAAATCAATTTTTTTGTTGAAATAAATGTAAAAGTTAGTAAAAACTACATGTGACTAAAAACTATGTTACTTTAATATGACAAATATTGTCTAAACTAATCAAATTTATGTTTTTAACTTTTCAGTCCAAATTTATTAAATTATAATACATAATTGGACAAGCATAGCGTGTCCAAGCATTCAGTAATCTTACGTCTAGACAATTATTTATATGAAATTATCAATAAGATTAGTTTTTAAGTCAAAATTAATAATTTTATTGTGTATATAACAGGGTATTTTGAGTAATTCCCCAACACCGGCTATAGAATAAACTTTTTACGCAAATAGTCGGCCGAAGACTAGATCGGCGATTTCTAAAGAAATGCATAAAAAGGCAGTTATAAAGATAGTTATAGTTAGTGCGAATTTAACCAGTCAGAAACACGTATTTTCGAGTGTCAGTAATTTAGCTGTGCCCTGGTTATAAATAACTGTTTATACATATTCAGCTGGCTGAGGGAGAGGGGGCTGCAGTCCCTTCAATAACTCTTTAGTCGGGCAAACTCTACTTATAATCATATTACGTTGCGAAAATGTCTTAACTACCGCCAATCCTCCCCCCTTTGTCGACGCCTTTAGTAATAACACACTCCTGCTGCTTATTTTTTTCCTCCCATACACTAATGCTCTAAGTCTAACATCGACTATCTACAATCTTGAAAAAAATTTCGTAAACTTTTTGTTTCCATGCAAATTTGCCCCCTAGCCCCCCCCCCCCCCTGTACAATGTTGGTAAATACATGATCTGAGCCTAGGTTTTATACCTATATACAGGATTTTCTAAGTTGGAGCTGATTTTATAAATCTACTAGTGCTACATCCAAAAGTCGAAAAACGTCTAGAATCAATTTATCGAAACGAAATTTAATGAAACTGATAGATACACCCGGGCTTTAGCCAGTATTAGTATTATATGCCTATTGTGGCTATTCCCTAAAATCCTATCAAGTTTTTTTTAATTGTTTCTTTCTACTTAGGTTTGTGCCGCATGATTTGAATAAGGATAAAATGGAATAGAAAATTATATTAGTCCAAAACATTTTATCTCCATAGGTCAAGTTTTTTTGTCTAATTTAAAGACTATCCTGGAAAAAATTTAGACTTTTTGAATTTTCAAACTTTGCCCCCCTCCCCTTACAATGTTGGTAATTGCAAACCACTTAATTAACCTGAACCAACATTGTTCAGGGTGGGACATTTCAGGGCAAATAGTTGGTTCTATATTTAAAAAATACTCATATTTTCATCACATGTCCTCAAATTTGGATATACTTAATTTAAAAAGTCAACGGATATTTTTTCCAAGATTGTACATCGAAGATAAAACAACATCAGACATTGATTGAGCGAGATCCCATCGAGGAACAGTCTTAGGAACATTGCACCGAGTCAAACCATTAGTAGCAATTATATAGACGCAAGATTAGCTTTATTCTATATACTACTACAATTCTACTGTTATGGACAATTATGTCATCTAAGACCTACAGTAGGCTAAATACTATAAATAATCGTGGTGTTTTTCACGCCAAACAAGTGAAATATAGTGTTTGTCATGCAAACCTACCAAGAACGTACTAATGAGCGTACTAATATATACTTTCTAATTATGTCACAAAGATAATTATTTATTTACAGTCGTCCATCACTTGACCAAACATGTGTATTTTTATTAAAAAAATCAAATTCCCTATAATTTATATTCTATAATTACAAGGGGTCGTGAAGGCGGGAAGGGGGGGCTTTCAATCCCATTTTTTTGCACTAGAAAAATTGCTGATGTATCAATTCCATGCAGTAGTCCAAATCCAATTTTCCAGTGAAAAACATGTTTTCAATAAAAGGCGATTCCCGACTGTTTATACAATCACCCGCTTCTAACATGCAGCCGCTTATTTCTTTGCGTATCTGCAAATTAAATTTACACGATTGTTCCTTTCATCTGGAAGTTTTGAGCACAGAAGCTATGGAAACGCAGTCTGCTATTACAATATTATTGAAAACACTGGACTAAATTTTGGCATGCAAATCCCCGCACTCCCATTTTATCCCTTCACGACCCTCTATAGAAATTTGGAATAATTTGAAATTACGTGGTATAACACTCGAGCTGACACTCGCAATCCCACAATTTGCCATTTCTTTCAAATTTCCGTTCTTGGTTCCATAAAATCATTGGGAAAACGGAAAATGTTTTCTACTTCTTGATAGAATAAATATTTTTCAAAATGTTTATTATAAATGTTTCAAAATGTTTATTACGTCGAATAAACATTTTTCAAAATGTTTATCGTTTTCGGAGTTACTATTGTTTTGTATTTAATAACATTATATGTGTTTATGATACGCATTCCAAAATATTAAATAAATCATGCAATATTATAATTATACGTTTATAATATACTTAGGCCCATTTCATACGCCGTACTTCACATGTGCCGAATACATTAAAGACAATAGATAATGAGCTGAAATGCCTCATTACCTATTGTTTTTAATGTATTCGGCACATGTGAAATACGGCGTATGAAACGGGCCTTAGATTCGAGCATTAGCCTACTTATTATAGATTGTCACCTTGCCGACCTTATAGGATAACTCGGCAGTTATATTTCTTGTTAATTAAAAACAACTAGTAAATGTATAAACCTGCATGTCTTTAAAGCTCTTTCTGTGATTCCATTAGGTTTTCTCCATCCATTTGTTCCAGTTCATTTGCCAATATGCGCATGCAGTTCTCGGACACGAGGATGCGATTCTGGATACACATTCAAAATTATTGACAATGAACGGGAAATATATTCTTTGGCCTTGTCAATTTCCTTGAGGTTCTTCCATGCAACCGCTATGTTTTTAAGTGTTTCACTAATACCGACACCCTTCCGACACCCTGAAATCCATGTTGCTGTAACTTTTCAAATATTTCTAAAGCTTTTTCGTATTTCATTTTAGCGATCGACATTTGGATCACCGAGAGCAAGATAAATATGTCCGAGACCGTTTAATGATACAGCAACTCCTGCACTATTTTCCGTTAGTTTGTCCCGCAATATCTCAACGCACCTTTCAGCATTTTGTAAGGCATCATCCAGTAGGCTTAATTCTCTTTGTGTATTAGAAATATCATGTAATACTTCAGCAACTTGATAATGCTGATCTCCATAATACTGCTGTCTTATTTTCAGAGATTTAGTCAACATTTGAATGGAATTTTGGAGTTCTCCTTTAACACGATATGTAAATCCTAAGAAATACAATGTTTCTGCTACGTTGGGATGATAATCACCGTGAGTTTCTTCATGAATACTTAATGCTTCTAACAAAGCTTCGATGCTTTCGTCATACTTTCCTAAAGCATAATAATTAGTCGACAAGGTGTTTAATACTCGTCCATCACGCGATCCATATTGTTTCCTAGTTAACTTCAATGTTTCCTGATACACAAGTCTAGCTTCTTCCACCGCTAGCTGCCCAAGACGATTGTAAACTACGGCCAAATTTAATAAAAATGCTGCTAATCTCCCATTGTTCTTTGGTGAAAATATCTTTCGGCCCAGTTCCACGGCATCTTCATGGTACCTTCGCGCAGTATCCATATTTCTCTGGTAACGGTGAATTATTCCAAGCAAGTGCAGAGAGAGTGCTATTTCATTGGTAGAATTATATCTTCGCGAAAGATCTAACGCAAGTTCGTGGAATTCTTGTGCTTTAGACATGTTTTGAGCAACGCCATGGTACACAGTTCCTATCATATTTTAAAATCAACAATGCCATCTTCTCAATTGAGGTTTCGTCAACATTCGATAAAGACCTGCCGATAAAATTTTCAATCATTTCCACAATTCTTACTAAATTCTCAGGCCTTTGGTTTCCTGTGTTATGAAGATAAAGAACAGATAAAAGTAATCCAACCTCTCTGGGTTATTTTCCGAATAACTGTGTTCGGTCATATTAGGCCTAACAAGAAATTCCACTTCTGGCATTATTATTGCAGACTTGTGATTATTAGGCCAATAAAGTGAAGCTTCCGCCATCGAATCGAGGAATAACCAACAAAAATCCTTTGCTTATATATTTTTGAAACAAGTGACATCACCACGTCGACAACTGTAAAGTCTAAACTTGCATGTGTATTCTGCCATCTGATTCAGCGAGGGTTCAGGGTTAGTGGTGAACTCTGATTTTAAAACCTGAAAGATTCTTGCAATTAAACCTTCAATTATTTCGTTGTTTTGTATTCTTTCATTGCATGCGATTAGCGAGGTGTATCTAGTTATCTGATGTGTTAAAATAAGACTATGCTTTTCATAATCGGTATTCACTTCGTATATATCGAGGTCTGTCGTACTAATATCTTTATTTGTGTTTCTGTGTAATCTTTCAAATCGTCATTAAGCCCAACATAGTTTTCAAGAAATTTAATTGAAATAACAGAAGAACCACAGTATCCAACAAAGCATGCAAGATCTAAGTAAAAATGATCATCCGAACTGCCATTGCTGATATGTTGCTGAATTAGCATGATTGATGCAGTATATGTTGTCAAATTATAACTCAAACCTTCCTCTACACCTTTAGCCCAAGTGAAATTTACGTCGTTCTCATATTTCTTCTGGTTCAATTCTAACTGCTTTAAGTAGAAATAATAAGTAGAGTTGAATCGTCTGTCGGCTTGAATATAACATGCAGCATCAGCAAGTGATTTTGGCAGTCCACCCAACGCCTCTGCAAGGCGACTAGCATTCTTGTCATCGTTCTGTATATTGCTAACTTTATTCAATAGATTTACAGATTCATTAATCGGCATGGGGTCAAACAAATACTTGTACTTTATAATTGAGGGAAAGTTCGTTGTTGGTCGATACTGTGTAGTTACAATAATTCGAATCTCACCATATTCGCCATTACCAGGTTGCAAGAAAAATTTACCATGATCCCGTCGTTTGTATAAGAAACTAAACATGCGCGCTTTTACATTATCAAAAATAACAACCGGATCATTCCATATGCTTGACCGATTTCTTGAAGCCACTCGCAGTTGATGAAATTTTGTAAATATTCCGACTTCATTCACTTCGCCCTGGTGACGTACATCCGTTGGTTCTTTACCTTGTGCATTACCAATGACGTCTTCTAATTAACGCTGAAGTATAGCTGCAAATTATTTGCATCCAAAGTGATAACATCTTTTGGAGGGAAAAGAAAAGATAGGTCAAACCTAAGCCAATATATATCATATATGTAATTCTCTTTGTTGTAAATCCTTTCTCCAAGTTGCCTTGCAAGTTCTGATTTTCCAGCTCCAGGCCCTCCACTTATTATGACATGAATTTCTTTCCTAGGATTTTGTCTTCTCAACTGGTCCAAGTCATTAACAAGCTGGTCAAGTTTACTTGTAAGCCATTATGTCTTGCAACATGTACAAAAACGTCGTTTGTTTAAGCTCTCTCTGATATGCAATTCGCATACCTGCCAAGTTTTAACAGTCTTGTTTTGCGATTGGTTTCATAAAACAAACGCAATCAGTGTTTGTGGCTTGTTCTTGGAAGGACGATTTCTATAAATCCCTATATTGTTACAATCCGCCAATCACAAACCCTGTTTACGCAATCTTCTCATGTTACATTAGCCTGTACCGTAGAAAGCAAGCGTTTGTTGAAGGCGAGCTAGTTTATCTTAACCTCACCCTGCTGTTAGCCCGCATTCCCCGCACCAGAACTGCCTGTCTACAGGCTAATGTTTCATTAAATGATGTCACAGGAGGCGAACTAATTAAGTACCCACAATTCATAGCTATAAATCGTGGTGATGTCATAATGTAGTTTGCCATAATTGATTGACTGAGATCATGCTGAGCACTTTTCTATCAATCTCACGCGAAAATTTCCCAAACGTTTTTGTTGAAGTGGTAAAACAACCATGGCTGAAGCAGAACATGACAATGCTTTGCAATGTGAGGACAGAGAAAAACAATTAGTACGAGAATTAGTAAAATTCAATATTTATGGAGAGCAAACGACTCTGGATGGCATAATTGAGGCAGCCGAGAAAAATTTAAAAGAAACCCAAGCTCGTGTTAAAGAGCTTAAAACTTTGTTCGGAGGGGAACTGAATGAAGGTAAAAATTACAATATATCTTGAAACTATTTTGTAATAAATAACGTTTAACTTTACTGCTTTCTGATTCGCATTTTATAGGAATGCGCAAGACATTGAGGATGTGCATGTGCGCGCGTGTGTAGCGAGATAGAACGCTGTGTATAAGTATCAAATTGATGCGAGATGCCTTTTTGATGGAGATGCCTTTTTGATGCGAGTTGTGGAGTAAAATCATAAAACGAATTGTGGATAAAGAATTTATCTTTGGGAGAGTGAAGTTATTTTGGTAAAATAAGTTTTTAACATGCAGTTGGTTTATAATAATGGTTTATAAGCACGCAAACGTTGGACAGTTGATTTTCGCGTGCGCATACGATCTACGTAATACTCTTGCGTGATTGAAAGAACGATTTTACGAAATGCGTTCGATTCGAGCGAGAACGGCATTAAGATTGTGTCATTCTCTCTCTGGAATAACTGGAATATGTCACGTGCAATAAATTTAACCTGCTCCAAATTTTGACTATATTATACATAGACTATAAAAAATTCATTAATAATTCACGAGGAAAATACAAAAGAAATGAATGTTTAATCAATGTTTGTAAATCAAATAAAGATTTGTCCTGATTTGCATAAACTTCAGCTTTGATTTTCTCGGCTTAGACAATGTTAATTTTTAAAATTACTTTGCCAATGAACTCATTCGCATCCGATCTTTATCTGATATCTATATCAGATACAGATCGGCTGCTCATATTTTATCTAGTACATATTATACAGCCACATCGCAAAAAGAGCTACTAACGAATAATAGAAATGATCGTCATATTCTGCTGTCTGTACACCTATATCCATTCGTATAAAAAACCTGTACCATTTACTCAAATGCACGAATGGCTCAAGACCAGGATTCAGTACCAGCAACACTGCTGCGTCATACAATGTGACTACCAATGCTATTCTAGTTTGTGGCGATGTAATCCTAATCCAGGACCAACTTCGAGAAGGCAAGGTGGGACAAAACTAAAACTTGTATCTAAATGTAATCTAAAGACAATTGTAGAATCTCCTGACGACAGCGCAGAGAAAATCAATAAGTTGACCATACTGCAGAACGTTGTTTATGTCGAACAGTATGATCATATTGTATATTTGTATGTATCTGCGAGAGCTGGTTAAACAAATTAATCCTTGATAACGAAATCCTTCTTGGCTGTACAATTCACAGAAAAGACCGTCACGATAATATGAGAGGTGGAACCACACTCATCCAGAAGACCGTTACTTGAAGGTTCACAAAGTGAACATATCTCATGATCGAACTGTATCCTGCAAATTACTCGAAATTTCTACTCATGAGTTTTCTATAGACCACCAAATTCTGAAGCGGATATGTTATTGGAGTTGAGAGATTCTCTCAATCGCCTAGACGAATCATGTCAGCGATTTCAATCTACCTAATTTGATTGGTCATTGGACTTTCGTTTCCCACCTCTCATGAGGGCAGCTGCAAAGAAAATGTTTTTTGAGATTATTACAGATCAATTATAATTCCTCTATCAAAAAGCTGTAGGTCCGACACACGTGCGTGGGAATAAACTGGACTGTGTATTCTCCAATAATGCTCCGGAGCTCATCACAAACGTAAACTGCGTAAATCCAATTGATCTGTTTCCATCTGATCATTACCTTATCAAGTCCGGTATCAAATTTTATTTTAAAAAAGCAAAAGCGGTAAGACAAAAAGTATACGACTTCAATGGTGCTGGTGAACATTTCTTGCACGTTCCCTTTCAACTCCACCAAATCTGAAAACTCAGATATAGATGAATGCTGGAAAGTTCGTCCCGAAAAAGATAGTTCTAGACACCAATACATTACTTTAGATAGACCGGGACGTTGAACACTTAATTAAACAGAAATACACGCCACTATCGCCAGAAACGAACGGAAGGGTGAAAACTCGAACTACAAAAGTTGACACAAGAAACTAAGAACATGATTAAACTAAAGCGCAAACCGTACTTAGAAAGTTCTGGATTCCCTCGCAAAATCATCTGGTCCTACCAAAAACATGTTTATTATATAAACATAAGTGTTATATAGAGTTTTTGGCCACTGAGAAAATTCGTATTTAAACACACGTAAAAAATACGATATTTTTACGTGTGAAAATATCATTTGTTGTAAAACGCATTGCCACGGACGTTTTATTGTTTTTCACTGAATTTTGTTTATATAATAAACAGAAAAATACATGGGTGCTTGGAAATACCAGATTTATTTCTCACTCGAAATAAATCTGGTATTCCCGCGCACCCATGTATTATGCTCTATATCCTTCGCAACAGAAATTCCCCATCTGCCAACACGCACAACAATGCAATAACACCTCACAAAACGGATACTTCGCCTGTGTTAACATGATTCCAAAAACTGACGAGGTAATATCTCATATTCAGTCTTGGAGTGCGAAGTCGAGCAATCTCTTAACAACTTGTACACAACCCTCATGACGGAATACCACCACGTCTACCATGTATATTTATCAACAATGTTCAACACGGCTTCATAAAAAATCGTTCATGGGTGACCCAGTTTCTAAGTGTACTACATGATATTGGTCATGATATTGGTAAAAGTCTGGACCCCGAAACAAACAAGTTGATGCGTTATACCTCGATTTCTCGAAAGCATTCGATTCTGTGGATCACGGAATTCTTCTACACAAGCTATGGTTGCCTCTGCATGCTCTCCAGTGACGTCAGGTCTACTTCAAGGCATCATTCTGGAACCATTGTTTTTGTGATATTTATAAATGATCTTCCTGATGTTTCGCCCAGTACAAACTCAGGATTGTAATAATTATATGCACAGTTATCTGCATGTAAAGCGGAAAAAGATCTTGGTATCCTTGTGTCCTGTAATTTGAAATAAAGCCCTCACATACTAAATATGGTAGCAAAAGCAAAATTATGGGTATCCTTAAAAGAACATGCTTGGAAATTACCAACACTCAACTCGGGAGGACTTTATATTTGACGCTGGTAAAATCTCAGTGTACTTATGGAAGCGACGTTTGGTGCCCTATAGCAGTCATCTTTCCAAAAAGATCGAAGGAGTCCAGAGAATGAAGAAACGTGGCGAACTGAGTTATATGGAACGCTTAACACAACTCAACATCATCCCACTTGTGCATGACAGAGAACAAAAGGACGTATTCTTGTTTTAAAATGCAAATACGGTCTCACAGACCTTGACATACAGTACGTTGAAACTACAACAGGCAGGACACGCGCGGGCACCTCAGGCCTTTTAAGAATGCAAGCTTGTAAAACAAGTGCTTTTCAAAGTTCTTACTTCGTTAGAATTGTAAAACTGTGGAACTATGTGTAATGTATGTAAACTGCTCCTTCCAACAGCCATGACACTCTCTCCATCTTTAAATCATACCTACACAAGACTTACAGGTACCTCCACCTGACCGCTACTGCCTACACTCATGACTTCCCCAGCTCACACCACAGCTCAGTGGCTCACACTCATTGACTAACGAATATCTTCCATGTCACTCATTCTACCATTGCTCTCTTCATCTTCTGTCTGTACATGTGCTCCTAGCTTTCCATTCACCTTCCACTTTTCTATTCTATATTTTTCTTGCTCTTCTATACTATCTCATCTAGTGGTGAGCATCTTGCATGAACTTAGTCTCGTTTGTGTTTCGCCATTTTGGCACCTTCTATAGTTAGTATTATCCATATTCTTGTTAAATTTAATTGTCTATGTAAGTTATGTACAACATTGCTTGTTATCGTCGTGCCAAATTAAAGTTGTTAAATAAAAAGAAATCAAATTTATTTTCGCGTTGCTATGCAACCAACTCATTAACTACAGCTTGTGGTTATTCCGGATACGAGAAATACAGAGTTTCCACTTTATTACGAAACAACACAAAATATTCTCTCTAGTATTTCCTAATGGCTTACATCCGTATTATTAACGTTTAGATCAGAAACATCTTGGTATTGTCCCGAGTTCCTCGAAAACAAATGAAGTACCGGTTAGCAGTACCGAGGTTGATATGGACGATGAAAATATTCCTGAAAATAAAGAGTCTAAGTCAGTGAATGATTCTCTACGTAAACTCCATCGACGAAGACGGTACAAATATTGTTGCCAAGGATTACCTGCAATATCAAAACAAAGTTAAGGGCAACACCCTGTAAAAAACACACTGATTCATGTAAAATGTGTACAGTAATTAAGGAAATTAAAAACATTAGAGTTTATAATGTAGAGTAGATCGGAGCTGCATGGTTTCTTTAATTAGTGAAGTGATTTAAGTTGTTTTGCCATTCGGATTGTCGTTTAAAGTTTTACAAATTGTTGAATATAATAATAAGTATTATAATAATTCGGCCCAAAAGAACAGTGAAATCAAATGATGCCGTTTTCTGAGTGGATATTGAACGTCACTTTCATGTTTTCTGCGCGGTGGTACTAACTAAAGTCATATGACTACAGTTAAGGGTACCGACCGCGCAGAGGACTGAAACCAACGTCGAATAAAACACAACACCAGATATATTACTCCAGTGCATTTAGCTCACTGCCTTACACTGTAAGAGTTTGGTCGTTGCTAACGGGGATGGACGAGATGGAGGTTTTCAAGATGGCAGTTTGTTTTCAAGATCGTCAAAATGTGAAAGAATCAACGACCCAGGCACTGAGGCACTTGTAATAATTCTAAACTTTACCTAAACCTCATCCTAAAATTTGTTAAAATTTGGAACTATTTTGTAAACTCCTTCTCGTCCATCCATTTTAATTACTACCGTAAGGATCTGTGTGATCTCAGTCACTCATCTCAAAAGTAAGCCTGGATAATGCATCAGGTGTGATAAATTAAGCCAATAATGGCCATATTCGAGTCGCCTGCTCGCAGACGTATTTCTTACGCCAAACGACGAGTGACCACCACAAATCTATTGTGCTGTTGATGACATGTTAAAACAGACAAAAATTATTTTAAAATTTTAAAGGAAAAATTAAGTATTAAAAGATATTGTTGCAGTTTCTGGTTTATTAGTAGGGAAGGACACGTACTGTGCAGGTAGAAACTAGTGATCAGTGCTCTCTTCAAAATGGCTGCCTCAGGTCTCTATTATCTGGTGTTTAAAATGTTCTAAAACTCATTAGGCCAAATAAAAATAATAGTTCGTTTCAGGTTTCCGACCGACCTGTCAAAAATATGACCGACCATAAGCATTTTATTGACATTTCCCTGTAGAGATCATCTTTTCGTAAATAGCAGAATATATAAAGTCATCAGACTCATTTGTCTACAAATTATTTTGTGTGCTAATAATTTAATAATTATCTAGTCATGTTAATCATAGTTTTACACAACAGTTGAATAAATATTTAAAACGTACATTATTCTGACTTGGCAGCTACGGCTGAAAAAAGACGAAAACGCCTTGATGCGTTTGTTTCTCGCGAAATACATGTAGCTAATATATTTTAAAATAAAATATTTTTTAAAATAAAATGTTTTTCCGACCTACCTACCTACATAAACCATGGCTGTGAAACCTGAAACCAACTATTATTTTTATTTGGCCTTAGATATAGTGTGGCAATATATATCTTCAATGTTACATAGGAAAAGACCAGCCTAGTCTCAGTCGTTCTGGAGCAAGCGCGAGAAAAAACGTGGATGTAGTATGAGACTGCGATCTAGGTGTGACATCGCAACTGAAGGTGCTTCAGAACGCCTAGCAGTTTTCAGTATTTTTAATATGGCGGATAGTTTGTATACGTACATTCTCAAGGATTTAGAAGAAGTTTCGACTGTAAAAAGTTGTGCAGAATTTCTGCATGAAAACTAAGGAGAAAATTGTGGTTTTTAAATAGAAATTGCCAATTTACTGTAGATTTTAATTCGCAACAATATTTGCTCTCTTCATCAGATTGTGTCGCGTTAGAAACATTGGCCGATAGAAAGATCATGCTTAAAAAAATCGTAAAAATCAAAATATTAACTCACCTTCGTTTTGAGCCATTTTCTTTAATTTCTTCTGCTTTTCTATTTACAAATGCGGTGTGCTTGGTAGCTAGGCCAGGGACCACTTTTTTGAAATCAGGGACCATTTTACTGAAATCTGCTAGGCTCTCGCGCTGAAGCGCTCGGCACAGCACACCCAGGCATAAAACTTATAAAACTTATTTAAATATATCAAAGCAGCGTACGGAGAGAGAGCCTGGAACTAGGCTGGGAAAAGACATTTACTGGATAGTAAAACTAATTAAAACACCTAACGATTTTCAAAAAATGCAATAATAATCTTTCTCGTTATTAATAATCTGGCTTGAAACTGGGTCAATAAATTCATTAAGAAACTATATCCAGTCGTAGTTTTGAGATCAGTCTATCTTGAAAGGACGTTGTCCGAAGCATTTTTTTCACTTACACAATGCTCCAATGTGTTTCACTTAGAGAGGAATATTTCCATGTTTTTTCCAAGGATTATCCAACACCTTAGTACTTAATGTTTCCAGATCACGACTCAGCCTCGTTCTCGTTGTCTTTGGTTCAATTATGTCGTCAACGAAACCTGAAGAGTAATATATAATTAGATGTATATAGTATTATTTAACAATAATTCGCCGAAGGCGAGGTGATTATCGGGGAATATTCGCCGAGACGAAGTTGAGGTGAATATTCCCCGATAACCACCGAGCCTGAGGCGAATAATTGTTTTAGTATTTTTTCACAAGTCTTTTGTGTTTTTGGGACTGAATATATATTTTAATTTCGCTTATTTCTTTATCAGTAACTTTCACAAAACAGTTAACCGCCATTTTGAAAATTTCGGTTTTGTTATATTCACCTGTAGGTGAATCTGGATATCACAAAAACATCATCCAATAACTATTATTAAAAGTTCGATGTTTGAAACCGCGGCCTGATGAACGTTCTGAAATAGAAATTCCACTACCGCTACCATTAACCATGGATAATAAAATAAATATATATTTTAAAATTTATTTTATTATTTATTTTATTTTATTTATTTATTTATTTAGAAATTTATTTTATTATCCATGCATTAACCAATCAGATGCGTTTAATCTTCCCGATCAACCAATCACATGTGTAGCGATAGTGGTAGTGGAAGTCAAATCTAAACCTCACTGTTAACATGAAAACTGAAGTCGCCACGTGTAACTACGGCTTTCGATGCCATTACAGTCCCAGTTTAACTGTGATTTAAGCTTGCACCAGCAACAACGTGCTCATTTCTGTTTATATTCACTGCGTGTTCGAATAGTTCGATGGCGTTGGAGCCGATGATGGACGAAAGATTGTTTTTATGATTATTCTGAGCATGAATTGAGGAGTATGAATTAATACTCTTTCTCGTGTGGCAACAACGACCTTAAAGTTTAAACAAGCATCGAAAAATGACGGGTTTAACTAAATTTTCTCTTGTGCAGTTATTTCTTCAAATGGAATGGAATGGAATGCACGGAATGGACTATTTCGTGTTGTTTAAAGCGCCAATAACATCACGTAGTAGCACTGTTCTTCACTTCGTTGATGAGTCTTGAACAAACATATTTTACATGTATTGCTCTTGGGACACAATTTAATCCACAGAGATCGGATAGTAGATAGCGCGACAACCTCGCAAGCCAGGCTCTCTACTTCCGCTTCCCGCCCAAACACGCTGCAGCAGAGAGCGTGCAAACACGCTGCAGCAGAGAGCGTGCAAACACGCTGCAGCAGAGAGGGAAGCGGAAGTAGAGTGCCTGGTTTGCGAGGTTGATAACGCGACCGAATGAAACAATTTCCGACTATCTTAATTTCCTTTTATTACGTTTGCTAAGTGGAATTTGATGATTGGCGTGGACATCCGTTCAATACGTTTGCTTATTGAAACTTATTGCGGAAGCTATAATCATAGGCAGCCCACTAAACGGCTGAATTTAAATTAAAACTGCAGTGAAATTATAAATTGACGAAAATAATCACAAATTAGCGAAATATATTGCGAAATGTAGCTTATATTAAATCGCCGCCCGATTGCACTATCGGCGAACTGACGTACAGTAATAAAGTATACCTTGTAAGGTATACTTTATAACTATAATTGTGGCGATTTAATATAAGCTACATTTTGCAATATATTTCGCTAATTTGTGATTATTTTCGTTAATTTTATAATTTCACTGCAGTTTTAATTTAAATCCAGCCGTTTAGTGGGCTGCCTATATATGCTATAACGCAAGACATCCAAACGACAGACCGACCGACGCAAAATCGAAATCGTGACAACATATAAGGCTTGGTCTAGTGAACCTGGAGAAACTATGTGTCGAATATGGAACTACGTGTCGAATATGGAACTCTCTCGTAGATGAACTAAATTATGACACGAACTGCTTCAATTCCTTTAGATCAGCCTTACTGGAATACTATCACAAATCTTTAGAAGTTAATTATAATCCTGATAATCCTCGAACATTTAAAACTATATGCCTGAAATGTAACTCTGTACGAAGTCTTACATATCCGATATCCTGCTGCTTTTAGTAACTAATATTGTTTGTTCGTAGGTTTGTTAGTCTGTCCAGTTGGATGTCTGTTGTTTGTTTGATTGTATCCAATTGGGCCCACAGTAATTGGCAATAAGCTGTTGCGGTGTCCCGGCCACTCTGTGTAATTTTATGCCGGCAAAGTTAATTAATAAATAAACGTTATCAGCAAGAAGAATAGTGTGCTGCCTCGCTGAGTTCGGGAGTGAGTAGTATCTCGAAATTACTGAGCATAAAAGATGGACGTTTTTTATATAACCCGTAACTTACCTCTAGTAGCCGCTGGGAAAGGATTAGCAAATTTATCTATATATTCTTCCTCACATTTTTCTAAAGAATAAATATTAATCAATTAGGTTAGGTGCTATTGAGAACGAAGATATTATATTTATAGCATTTCCACTTACCCATGTCTGCATCATCACGGAAGATAATGGAGACCGCTCCCTACAACGTAATTACCAATTAATCAGCTATCTTTCGTACTAAGAAAATATGGGGGCAGTTTTCCCCGTTGTCTTTACAATTTACAAATCATATTTCTAAATTGTTAAAACCCTTATATGTTGTGCTTAGTCATCAATTTACTTTTTAACAAAATCAATACACGAGATGGCATATAGGTGTACCACTATAATGTTAGTGATGCACCAATATGGAAATTCACCATTCCAGGATAAAAAAATTAATTGTTACAGCATTTAACAAATCAATACTATAATAGTGCATACTAATGAGTGGAAATTCCATTCTAGCCTGCATATCTAGCGAATCAGGTGGATCAAACCGATTCCCTAGAGATGCCTGCGCAGGAGGCTAATATAGGCCTAAAAACACTTTGCATAACAATATCTGCAGGGCAAGAAAAATGCTTTCTCCTGCTCTTTTGCCTTATCGTTCTCACTATTTTTAGTTAACTGCAACGAGCCTATTCCACTCTACGTATTGAAGCAATAACCATACCTTAGCTCCCATTACGGCGACTTCTGCTGTTGGCCACGCGTAATTAAAATCCCCACGAAGATGTTTTGAACTCATGACGTCATAAGCTCCACCATACGCCTATGGAACAAAGTCGGAATCTATAACTACTCACCTTCGATAATTATTCATCAATTACTAATTCATAGTTACCCACCTTTCTGGTAATAACAGTGATCTTTGGTACAGTAGCTTCGGCGTAAGCATACAACAGTTTAGCACCATGACGAATAATCCCACCATACTCTTGGTGAGTACCTTGTTTTACGTAAATAGTAGTAATGTTGTTACATGAATGAATTAAATAGATGGTTAGGATGCTACATATCATACGAATCATACCATCTATAGCAGAGGCGTACCAACGGGGAAGGGGGTATGGGTGTGAGGGGGATGGGGGGTCCGCCCCCTCACATCAATTTTGTAATTCTTTCAAAACTGAGAAGAAACGGGGGCAGGGCCGTGCCACCTGGGGGTGTGGAGGGGGTGTAACACCCCCAAAAAAGTTAAAAAGGGGGCCCAACTTGTGAGGAGGGGGCCATGGCATGCTGGAATTGCAAAATTTGTTAAAAATGAAGCATACGTGCGCTGAATTAAGAAATTTTCTGGGAAATGTTGTGTTGCGAAAGATTTTGGGAACTTTTGTTTTCGGAAACATAACGTCGACCCCTGCCCCCCCCCCCTCCCGTCGCCAACATTTTCCGGAAAAATTTTTGCTTTCCGGAAAAATTGTTTTGAGGGGGCCCTGGAATGGAAGGGGGCCAAATTTTGGAATACACCCCCCAACCAGAAACCGGTTGGCACGGTCCTGGGGG